CCCCACCCTGCGAAATCCTGGGCTGCTCTCCCACCCTGGTGTCCTGTGGCTTGGGTGGTACCTGATACAATGCCTGGGCCCCAGCTGGGCTGCGGAGAGGGGGAAAGGGGTGGAGAGGAAGGGAAGTGATGCGTGCCTCCTGTGCACACTTGCACACGGGCGTGCATGCACACGCACACAAACACACACACTCAGGCTTTGTGTCTGCAAAGATCTAAAACCCCTTTCATCTTAATAAAGGAGAACAGCAGGAGGCACAAAGGCAAGGGGGAGGCCAAGCCAGTTGTAAAAAAACTTAAGAGCTTGTGGTCGGCCTCCTAGCTGTGTTCTCTGCTGCAGGGACCTGGGGCTGAACGACAGAGCCGGCATCTGCCTGCCCTCCCACAGCAGGGCCTCACCAGTCACAGCAGCCCAGTCCTTGCCCTCCCAGGAAAGCACAGGCCTCAGCCGGGAGGCCAGGTACAGTCAGCAAATTCATGCCCAGGGCCATCTCTGACCACAGAGAGTCACGCTCCCTGAGAATTACATAGAACAACACTGACCTACAACCATCTCGTTCTCCCACCACGGGGATGAAGTGATGATAAGTGATGCCCATGCTTGGCCCTAGCTTCTGCCAGAGGTGGCATGTGGCCCATAGAAGGTACCCTTGAACCAATGACATGTACACAGTGGGTGGGCAGCAAGCAGCCACCACACCGTCAAGTTCACCAGGTCACATACTCCTGCCCCAAGGCCACCAGAAGCACTTCAGCTCAGAAGAGCTTACCACTTTGCAGAGGCTTCCCTGCAGTAACCAGGGGGCCAAGCTCCGGGATCTGAAGGCCCGTGTTTGACTCCTGGCTCTCCCACTTATATGAGAAGAACACCGACTCATGGCATGGCAGTCACATGGTTGTGCCCCGTAAAGGGCGTTGCTGTTGGCTGTGAACCTGGTGATAAGGCCAAGTCTCCTTTTAATTTGTTAAACCCTGCTTCTGTGCAAAGAGAGGGGTTAACAACATCCTGTAGCAACTCCAGCAGTCTGGGGATATGGTTAAATTGTGCCCCCCACCTCCCTGTTTTGTTTTAAAGGCCCCAGGGACTGCCACAGAGGGAGAGCAGGAGCTTGGCACCAGGGAAGTTCGCAGCTGCCCTCCGAGTCTGGCAGCGTCCACTGACAGCTTCCCCTCTCCTCCTGTGCTCCTAGCAGGGCAACCAGTGCCGGTTTCTGACGCCTGGCATTAAAGGTACAGGCGCTCCGCGAATGCTTGATGAATGAATAAGTGAATGAACAAAGGCAGGGCTGGGGAAGAACTTTACTGTCTTTTCTCCCAGGAGTGAGAATCTGAAATGGGAGTAGAGTGGGAAGTTCTGAATGGAGTAACTTCTAAGGCTTTTTTTCCTAGGAGGCACCCTGTGGTCAGAAAAGCAAAGTGCCAACAGTGGTAAGTGTCTGGGGAAATGTGAGTGAAAAACCTTCCGGATGCCGCCCCAGAGACAGACCACAGCCTGGACGGCCTTTATCTGACTGCAGACTGACTTACCACCAACATTTACCAAGAAAATGACCCAGGAGTGAACCCCAGTGTCAGTTTTTCTGACCCCGCCCTCCCGCTGCCTCTCCCCGACACCTACCTCCTTGAAATGGAAGGTAAATGGAGGATTATAGGGTTTGATACAATTTAGGCAAGAAAAGGAGCAGAGAGGCAACCATAGACACAGTGCTGAGCAATTCTCCCTTTCTGGAGAAAACCCGACACACCGCATGGCCCTGTCACCCACGGGAGGGTTTAGTATAAAGCAACCAACGTGCCATATTTATTGAGATTTAAGCATTGTGCATGATTCTTTATGTTACAGTAAAGCTCTGTGGGGGACAATGTCCCCGTTTTATAGACAAGGAAACTGAGGCACAGAGAGTGAAGCCACTCACTGGACATCCCTGTGCCAGAATTCTAACCCAGACTCTGATTTTCAGGTCTTCAGTCTTCCCATGATGCTGCCCAGGGACCTGGTTCCCGTGCAACATCAGACATGCACACACGGGCTTTCCTCCCCTGTACTGTTCAGGGAAAGGCAGGTGACGATTTAGGTAAAACTCAGGCATCGTGCAGGGAGTTAGACTTAACGAAGAGATACTGGGAGTGGGAGCGGGCATTTGAAATGGATGTCAGCCAAAAGGATGGGGAAGCCCTCTCCTCAGTGGATTAGGAGAAAGGAGTGAGGCTCCTCTGACACCAAGCAGTACGTTTTGGGGTGGGCCATCAGGGAAGTGGCGTGTCAGGGCCACGTCAGGGAAGCTGGGGCCATTCTGCAGCAGTGCACAGGCGTGTCAGGCGTCCCCAACTCTCTGACGAGGCCCACCAACCCCGGCGCGCTGTGGTCCTGTCTCCTCAGCGACTCTGGAACAAAGTCTCAGCAAACAAAGGACCCTTTCATGAACTTCAGGCGGGTCCCCTGTCTGCTACTATTGAAACGGGTTCCCAGGAGAACAGTTTGTTATGAGCACATGGTTTTGCACCAACAAGTAGGGCCAGAATCGTGACAACGCCCTCCCTTTGGTTTGATCCAGGCTGACAGGAGACTCTCCCGCATCCACTACAGGGAGGCCCAGGGGAGGAAGGAGCAGCCCAGGGTGGCTTCAAAGGGAGCCCTCCTCCCAGGCAGCGGGTGCCCACTGTATTATCCACCTGGAAGTGAGTCATCTGAAGATCGTGGGCTTTATCTCTTTTCTATGAACTGCCATCTGAGGATTTCGAAGTGCTCGGAATATTATCTGATGCTGGCTGCCACTGTCTTCCTTAAACAGATGGGGAAATTGCACTCTGTCGGCTAATGTCACGGAGCAGGTCACAGCAAGAGGGAACCCGGAGTGGGGGTCTGCCCATTGTCCTCTCAGCTCGGACACTTAGGTTTTGTGGGATTCTGTGCACTGCCTCCCCGTTCTCCAGGTGAGCACGCCCAGCAGAGGCCTGAGGTGGCAGGAGGAATCCAAGGCCCTGGGAAGCAGACGTCTGGGTTTGAATCCCGCCTCTGCTGTTTTCAACCCTGTGACTCTGGGCAAGTAGCTCGCCTGCCCAGTAACAGCCTCTCTGAGCCTGTGTCTTCACCTATAAAACTGGAATAAATATACACGAGGCCCTAAGACGGGGCTTTGCTCAGACACAGCAGGCGCTCAGTGGGTGAAGCCATTGTTTTTTTGAAAAAGGCGATTCTAGTTTTGTGAACAAAAGGTTGCGACAAGTGATCTGAGGACCAGATTCCTAAGCACAATTTCCAAATAATTTACTCTGCTAATGATGCTCTAATTTTCATCCATAACGCTGAAAAGGCTACATTCATACAAAAAATTAGGGTAATGTCTTTAGACACTGATATGCTGGAAGTCGGGGCAGCTGTGTCAGAGCGCCTGACGTTGTGGCCAGTTGTACAAGGCAAAAACTTTAATCAAACACCTTCAAGTTGAAAGACAAGGAGATCCCTGTTCTGAAACCTCTTTAGAGAACTAGCACGTCGCCTAGTTTTTTACCTTTCTTTAAGGCACAGGTGGCGAACACAAGGCCCTCGGGCAGAATCCAGCCTCCACCTTGTTTTATCCAGCCTGGCACCTCGTTTCTACCCAGTGGCAGAGCAGAGCTCTCGCTTAACTGTTAAGGAGCAGTTACATGTATACAGTCCCAAAGTTACATTCGGCCCTCTGAAGGAAACCGCGAGGCTGATGTGGCCCCCAGTGAAAGTGAGTTTGACACCCCTGCTTTAAGGCAAGAAGCTCTTCCTTTTCTGCTATTTTCACTTGTTGTGCTGACATCTAACAGTCCTTAGGAATTTCTATCTTAAGGAGAACAGGAGACATCACCTTATGAGAGGAGGCTGAAGCCACAAGCCACCAAGTGAAGAGCATCAGAATCGTCAACTGGGTTCGGCTTTACCAACACTACTGTCTGTGCCCAGGGCGTCCCTTTGGTTAGGATGGGAGGGGTAGGACACAGTGGCAGCGGAACCACAACCCGGAAAAGACAGCTGATGTCAAACCAGGGAGCCTAAAGGGCGGGCTTTATCCACATAGCAACCTGAGCCCCAGGAAAGCCACCAATGATATAATGCTGCTTTGTTCGATGGGGACCAATCCCCAGCTCCCACGAAGAGAGCCAACCAAATAAAACCCCACCATATTCCCTGCTTGGGTGCGACTTTCTTGGCCCTACTCTGTGGGCCAGGGGACCTCGCCTGGGTGGGCATACCCCAATAAAGCTCTATACTGCCTAACTTTGTGACTGATTGGCATTTCTTCCTCAGTGGAGCCTAAGAAAACCTTTCACCTTTGTCAGGACTTGGAAGCCACCTACGGCTGTCCCCTTTACCACCACTCCCAATGTCCCGGGTGGTATCTCAGACACCTCCACATTCCTGCATGAACCGCAGCGGGGGAGGGGGGGGGAAGGATTCCATAGGTTTAACTGAACCTTGGGAATTCCATGGGGCACGCTAGAGCTGGGTGAGCGGTGAGCTCCTGCTTCTGTTTCTAACTTCAGGAGCAGTGCATCCCGGCCCTTCCTCCTCTCCGTGTGCATTTGATCACAATGCTCCCCGTGGCCACCGAGTCCCTAGCACAGCTCCTTGCCTATCGTAGGTTCACAAAACATACTCACACAATCAGTGAATGAAGGTTTTCTCTCAGGCCTACCCCCATAGTAGAGATGTGGGCATCCTTGTTTCTTGCTTTTTTCTTTCGGGAGTGAGGATGAAGAAGAGGGAAGCCACAGTTCTCATGTCCTGAGATTCAGGCCAGAGAAGGGAGGCCCAGAGCCCGGGGAGCTGCAAGAAGCCCCACATAAGGAACCACGCTCTTTGCTCCCCGCCATGGCTCAGAGAACAAGACAAGACCACAGCTGTCAGCACTGCGCTCTACATTCCCTGGGGCCAAACCCGAAGCGAGAAGACCAGGGTCCCACAGGGTCACGGCCCAGACCTGGGCCTGCAGCCCCTCCCTCCTCCTGCCCATCCTCTGAGAAACGCACCTGTGGACGTTCTGCCTTCTGTGCTCCTTCCCTTCAACTTGTGTCTTACAGTTGAGGAGGTTCTTGCTCCACTCTGTCTACCTTAAGGTGGAGGTGTTGCCTCGGGCAACAGTGATGTCACCTGCAAGGTGCTTCCATTCCATTGATGTCATGGGGTGGGCCACCTGAGTGGAGGGGGATGTGCTTTCTATGGAAAAAAAGTACAGGTCCCAAAACTCTGGGGAGGATCCTGTAGACCTCTTGGACACTCCCAAATGACGTTTTTTCTCTCCCAGAACCCTTTCTCACCCTTCCCTCCCCTCTGGGTGCCTGTGAAAGGCCCAGCCTCTAACCTGACCTTCCCTCTCTGAGTTGGCTGAAATGTCAGGACAAGCAGCTTTGCCCTCACTTAGAACATACTCCACATAAGGGCACTGTTGACCTCCTTCTCCCTATGGGACAGTCTGGGGCCCTGCAACCTTGCCTTTTGCAGAGAATTTGGTAGAGAATGTAGGTTCTCAATCGACCTCTACCATCTTTAACAGCTCATACCAGCCTGACTGCTGGTCTGTGCCAGGCACTGTGCTTAGCTCTTTCTACGCCTGCCCTGTGACAAGTTCTTCCCATTTTACTGATGATGAAACCAAGGCTTCGAAAAGTCAAGGCACTCACCGCAATACAGAGAATACCCAGCTACTGGGCAGTGGAGCCAGGATGCAACCCAAGTTTGCCCTCCTCCAGAGCCTACCACGTGGGACAGAGATAACGGAGAGCCCTTTAAATTCAAAGAGGCCAGCCAGGATGGCCATGTGGCTGAGGGAGTCAAAGCAATCACTGGCCTCAGAGAGTGCCTGACACCCCCCCACCCCCCCACTCACAGGGTCTGCAGCAGGTGGCCAGTCCTGGCCCTTCCACTTCCCCAGGCAGCCATGCAGATTAGGGACCAGGTTCCTTTTTTCTGAGCTTGGCTTCCTATTGACCCATTCGGGCCACCTGTCTAGTAGTTAAACTTATGCAAATATAGCTCAATGTGTCTGGGAAATCTGCTGGGCACCAGCCAGCCCTTTCCAGGAGACATTAAGGCATTGAGAATTCCTCACTGGCAGAGAAGCCTGGTTTGTCTTAAACGCTGTTTATTTGTCTATATGTAGGTACGTAGTAAAAAATGCCCTGCTCCAGCTAATTAAGTGCTGAAAATAATAGCATGGGAAACAAGAGATCATGAAGAGGGAGCTCTGGAGAGGGAGCTTGGGACGGGTGTTTGCAGGTGAACAGGCCCTGGACACGGATGGGGAGTGGGGGGGGGTGTCAGAATAGCATGTTCAGACACTCCCCACTTTGTTCCACTCCTGGGGGAGTTCTCTGCCTAGGTGAGGGGCACACCCAGGTGGCACTTACTCATCACCCTCATGCCAGGCCCCAAAACTGGATTTGCCACCTTACACCGCCCAGCTATTGAGAAGGAACCTCAGCTGATGCTTGGGCCAGGTCTCCCATCAGCTATCAAGGCCAGGCCTGCCTCTCTTTCTGTACCTTTCTCTGCCAGATGAGTTTTCCATCTTTTCCTCCATCTGAGCAGAGTGAGAGAGGGTATTTCTTCCCTTGACAAAGAAAGAAAAAGGCAACTGCTCTTTTTTCTTTCCCATGAGGGACCCCAAGCAAACTACCTTTTTAACCTTAATTTGCTTCTTGGGCTGGGAATTCTCAGGACTTGGGATTCAGCTTCCAGGCTCCTGAAAACTTTGCTGTGCCTTAGTTTTCTCATCTGTAAAATGGGGATAACAATACCTATGTCATAGAGCTGTGAAAATTAAATGAGTTAATACAGGGAAGGTGGTTTTGGGGGAATGTTAAGTCCTCGATCACTATTGGCTATCAAGGCTATTGTGTATGGTTGTCCAGATGCTGGACCGGTCAAGAGCATGGGCTCGGGTAGCGGTGAGAATGGATCCAGGTCACATGCCGTCTGCCCAGCTATGTGCCTTGGTGGTGTCTATCCAGGTGAAACTCCTTTTCCTAAATGGCACCAAGGTGCTAGCTTCCTGCTAGAAGAAGCAGCATATTCAAAATCACACAAAGGATGGCACAGGCTAGCAGCAGCCCTGGGGCTGTTATTGTTAGCAGCTCTCAGCAGTTGCATGGCTATGTCCTCCTTCTCAGCAAGACGGGATTAGAGGGGAGTCCAAGACAGACTGGTCTCAGCCACATCTGAGAGGTCCTCCTCCTCAGTATGCCTGAGGCACTTGCCCCCCACCTAGGACACTTCTGAACCTTCCCCCAAAGCCCCACAGGCTGCCCTACTGAGAGAGGAAGTAAGAAACTAGGAAAATTCCTTGGCAACTGGAATAACGAAACTGAGACAGAATGGCCAGTTACAAAAGGTCACCTCCTAGAGACAACATCTAGGCTGCAGCTGAGTTTCAGCTCCAGGCCAAGAAGAGAAGCAAAACCAGGCGGATGGCACCAGGGCCAACTAAATGACTAAATGACCCCTGCCCTGGCACTGACCAATCAGTGGAGACCGTGACCCTGCCAGGGCACACCCGGAGAACTGATGACTACTTTACTGGAACCCTCCCCTGAGACCACCCCTAAGATTCCCAACTGCAAGAAAGAGAAAAAAAAGGCCTCATAACAAAGGACCCAGCGCTGTCTCCCTCTGGGGAGCAGCCCCTCACCATCCCCTTTCCCCGTCTTCTTCCTCCACTTCTTTCTCCACAGGCACATGGCTCCTAAACTCTAAGGCAGCTCATCCCAGGCTGATCCCCAGAACCTGTCTCCAAGGTCCCCTTTTCTCTGACACCCCAGTGAGCTAAGGCAGCCTGGCCTGGCCTCTCCTGTTGCTTCTTCTATGCTAGGCCCTTCCTTGTTTCACTGTCCCCAGCTTTAATACACGTACCCTCACAGTCACCTGGATTCATGCTGTGACATTTTTCTCACACAAAGTCAAGAACCCACACACCACCGCTGGCCCCAGGCAGACCCACTGAGGGCCAGGCCCCTATCTGGTAACACTACTACCTCATCCTCAGTGAGGAGACTCTCAGCCCCAGACATGGAGTCGTCAGAGCCTCAGCCTCTGATCTGAAAGGACCCTCTCCTTGGTGAGTGTCGATGGCCATCTGTCTCTGCAGAGTGATGGGCAGAGCATCACCCACCGAGGAGCTCTGGCTGTTGGCAGGTTCCTTCTGACTTCTGAGTAAGAGCCATTTCCCTGCTTCTCCCAACCAGTGAGTCTCTGGAGGCCAGGCGGAACAAGTCTTCTTTACTCAAGTGACAATGCTGGAGATTCCTAAAGGCCACAGCCCCAAGCCGCTAGGCCTCACATCCTGATGGGAAATAGCTCAGGTTCATTCCCTTCTGCCTCACAAGTATACTTTCCAAAACCTCCATACCACTTTACCCCTTCCCCTCCGGACACATCCTCATTCGGCAGTGGTATCCCTGAAAAGAAGAGCCATTAAGAAGGGAGTTCCGCACTCCAGCCGTCCAGCCCTACTCTTCCTGGGCTCTGTGCCCAGGATGCTTGTCGCGTGGCCTCCCACCAAGAAGATGGGCACCCTCTGCCCGAGACAACCCCTCCCCCTTCTTTCTTTTTATTGACCCCAGGGAACTCAAGAGGGAAAAATACAATACCAGGTTCCTCTCAGACAGTACCTTCTCAGGCAATTTTGCCAGAAACCTCCACCCAGAAATTTCTCCCTGAACTTGCCTTCAGATAAAAAGGTCACCCACACCCCCCCTTCTTTGTTTTCCTCATGGGTGCTCCAGAAGCTGAGAGTGTGTTTCTGGTAAGGTGACAAGTTCTAAGATGATGGCAGCAGGTTAAATTTCAGATCCTTCCCCCCCCCAAAACAGAGCTTGAACTGCTGCATCTTTGACAATCCCGGAGCTGGAGGATGGCACTTGAACAGAAACCTTTCCATCCAACCAGGGAGAGGAGAGTCAGTCTAACCACTTCACGGTTACCCACAAGTGGAAAATATGAGGGCAGAATGGCCTGGAGCAGCAACAGACACATGGAATTAGCAAACAATGAAAGCCACTTAGGCACGTAGGCTGGAAAGAAGACTCACAAACTCAGCCTATTATGTTATCAGTAAGGAGGTGAGTGGAAGCAATCCTACCTGTGTGTGCCATGCCGTTTTGTGGGTAACCTGGACCTGTGACTGCACCCATGAGCGCTTAGTGTTACCTGGCAGCCTCTCCAAGGTAGAAGTGGTTTTAAAAGGAACAAGAAAATTGAACACAGCTCCGAAACCGATTCCCATCCAGAAGACCAGGCTCTGTCAGTACCTGGTGCCCTTCTAGTGTTGAAGGGGTGGGGGTGGCGGGTACTTCTCACAACAGGCCGGGGGGCAAAAGGCAAAATGCCACCACCGAGAGGCTCTGTAAAATATTTTCCCTTCCTGGGCAGCAGCTTTTTTTTTTTTTTTTTTTTTTTTTTTAAGAAAAGGAGCATTTAAAATGGGAAGCCCGACCCTGAAGCTTCTGAGTCCCTTTAGCAGGCAGTGAGAGAGATGGAGACACTGAGAAATGGTTGGGGATGGAGTTATGGGTCAGGGGCAGAGATTATTTACAGTCCCAAGAGAAAGTTTTGCACAGTTTCGGGTCCCTTCCACTAACAGTTCCAAAAGAGGAAGCGGCAGGGGTTTTATTCGCCCCCAGCAACCTCATAGCTTCACTACCTTAAACTAAGAATAAGTAAGCTTCACTACTTCTCCCTCCTTCCAGGAGAGGAAGGAAGGCGGAAAGGGAGCAGGCTGAAGAGGTGGGCCCCCCACCTACTACCCCCTACTGTCTCTGAGTCCGAGTACTCTGCTAAGACAGTGAAAAGTAACGGATCGTCGGGGCAGTAGGAACAAAGACGTGGTCCCAATTCGGACGCCTGGAAGAGGAGCTACCCGCGGCCGGTGCTAGAGCTGAGCGAGGAGCGCAGGCGTGAACCCCAGATGACAATGCGTCCCATCTTGGCCCCGGCGCTGAGGAGGGGTCTCCAGAGTGAGCCCCAACCTGGGGGCCCGAGGAGGCCCCTTCGTCTCCCTTGCAGCCCCTGCGCGCCCACTCCACGCCGCCATCTCCGACGCGGCTCCGCCTCGCCCCCCTGTGTATTGGCTCCTTTTACCTTCCCACCCACGAGGAGGACGCAGAGCCTCGCTGCTGCTGGCCCACACTTACGTTTCGCCTTCGTCCCCACTCGCCGTCGCGGGGAGGACCGCGCGGGCCCAGGCTGCGCTCGATAGGGCCCGGACGCCGCGGTTTGGCCGCGTTTGCGGTGCACCCTCCGGCTGGATAATTAGAGGGTCGGGGGCGGAGATACCCCGACCGGCTCCCGCCTTCTAGCCTCCAGCAGCCGGCTCGGGGAGCTTCGGAGTTACTCATTTCCTGGATGTCACAAACTTTTCCTCCTTATTAGAACAAAACACCCGCCTCTACTCTCCGCCGCAGAGCTCCTTAAGGAGGACCGTGCAAGTTAGGGAAGCGGGGCCCAAGGTCCGCCACGGAGGCCTGAGCATTGACCCCCTAGGAACTCCAGAGGGGGCAGCAGAACTGGAGAATGACGGGGAGAGATGGGATCTGGCCACTAGAGTAAACTGGGACGAGTGGACAGGGAGGCAACGAGGACGCCCTTAAAAGTCGGTCCAGTCCGGCTGACTGTAAGGGGTTAAGTCTCTGCTCGTCGACGGTTTGTTTTCCAAAGCGCGTTTTACAGGCGGCGGATTCCTGGGGCCACCTCTTTTGTCCCCTGGAGGGAAATATAAATCGAGACTAGACGCCGGCCCTCTTCTTTATTCGGCTTGAAAGGATTAAAATAACTCACCAAATTTAATGATTTGCATCCTAGCCTTTCTCCCTGAGTAACCAGGCACAAAAGGAAAACGGCGACTTAGACGCTTTTATCTGCAGAGGGCGCTTTAGTTTCCAGAGCCTGTTTACAGTTGTGAAATTAGAACTCTATTTTAGGACTGCAGGGAACTGAGACCTGGAGGGCAGCAGCAGTAGCAGCAGTAGCAGCAACCCCCTCCCCCCCCACCCCCCGCCCCGGTGGTACTTAACGGGTTATGAAATCCATAACCTGTTCTCTCTGTGATCTGCCCAGATTCCACAGCCAGTAGAAGGGACGGGGAAGAGCTGGAACTGATCCTACATGAAGTTGCTTTGGGGGAGTCAAATACCAGGGAGGGCACGTTGAGGAAATTAGAACACACTGCCCAAGTCATTATCACCGTTGCTACTGCTGTTGGGTCTTAGAGCACCTTCTTTTCCTTCAAAAGTCAGTCACAGAACTGTAACACTGGCCTGGGAGACATTAAGCTGAGTGGAAAGATAAACAGGGGAGGAATAGAAACCCCTGGCCCTTGACCCAGGTTACTGTCCTTGGAAGAGTACTCTTGTCCTTCTGCTGCCGACTACAGCTCCTTCCTTACATCAGGCACAGTAATGGCTGAGTTTGGAAGCTGGGAGGGAGGGAGGGATGGAAACAAGGTGATCTGGGGAAATATTCTTGAAAGAGCTGTGTATTTACAAAATAGCTGCAAGTTGGACAAGTGGGGTGCTCATCCCCAAAGCAGGCTGGGTGGGGGGAATTCCTGGGAGATGAGGACCCTGAACTGAGCACCCCAGCGCTGCCTTGTAACCCTGGGGGTAAGAGTTCAGGGTTACGTGTGCTAGAATGCCAAGGTTAGTGTTTGAATGCCCCCTGGGATTGTGTATATTTATTTATATAAGGAACGGTTATTCAATTTGTTTTTCTTTTAAACCTGATGATTTCACTCTTTGTGACCTGATGGTCAGCCTCCTTGGCTTCCCTCTGCTCTCAGCCTGAGGTCCACTGGCCTAACCTGGCACATGGGCCATTCATGAAAGGCCCCTACTTACCTCACCAACCTCATCTCAGTTCACCTTCCACACCAAAGTCCTTGCAGTTCTTGGAAACTGTGCTTCTCAGAATGTGACACTTGGTTTGTCCCCACCCACCTGGGTATTCGCATGTGCTCTGTCTCCTGCCAGCAACCTTCACCCCACCTCTTCCTCCAACCTGTCACCCTCAATGCACGCACACTTTTTCTCCTGTCTGATTTGTGCTCAGTCTCCAGGTCTCAGATTAAGCGATTTGTCTTCCGGAAGTCTTCCTCGAACACCCATGCCTGAGTTAGACATCCCTCCCCTGACCCCCTGCCCCGTAGTTTCCATAGCACCTTGTGGTTAGTCTAGAAGGGGTTTTTAAAAGACAGGAAAGTACAAAG